CTTTAAACCATCTTCTTTCCATGGTTTCTTCAGTCTGTGTCATCATACTTCATCTACAATGATAGAGATTAGAGAAGTAAAAGGAAAAGAAGTTTTAGTTTCCAAATTGTTCATCTTTCTTTTAATTGGACTTTGAACTGAATCATGGGCTTTAGTTAGATTCTTAAGGATGGGAATTACTCTTCAATTCAGTTTCACATCACCTTGGGCATTTCAATTCCAACTTTGTATTAAACTGCATTCATAATATGCTGGATTTACCAAAAACTCTGTACAGAGGGCAGGAGCAATGGGCACAGTGTGATGATTGCTACAAATGGAGAAGGTTGCCTGTTGACGTTCTTCTTCCTTCAAAATGGACATGTGCAGATAATGTTGGGAATTCAAGCAGGTGCAACAATTTTCTTTTAGTTCTCATTGTTTAAAATGTTACACGTGGAATCTATCTATAATACAGAAAGTAGGTTTTGGTGTTTATTCTCTTCACTTCCTTATATGCCCCTAGGTGTTCATGTTCAGCTCCAGAGGAGATTAGCCCAAAGGGATTGGAGAATCTTCTTAAGGCAGGTAGAGGTAGGAGGCATATGCTTGTCTTTCATATTTCGAGAAAGGTATTATAGCCAATTTTTATTTAAAGATGTTTAAAGAAACCAAAAAGCACCATTCAAGATTGAAATGCTTGTGATAGTAATGCCTTCCTCCCGAGAAAGTTCATCATGTACAATTACGGGATGTGGCCGGTGAAGTAGGTACAAATGCAGTGTTTAAGACAGTTCACCCTGTATGTTCAGCATCTTTATTTGCCAAAAGAAAAGGGGTATTAAAGTAACATTGCTTGCCTCTTGGAACTCATAGCCATGCTTGAATTTCAACATGCACTGATGCACTAACAATGATGGATATTTATCTACGAAGCTACTCTTGGTATTTTAATATGCAGTGTAGTTACATGAAAATTAAGTCTACAGCCAATATTCAGTGGAAATTCAAAAAATCTTGTTACAGTGTCCATGTATTTGCTATGTAAATTTGTATCCTGAATCAGTATATATATATATATATATATATGACTTCTTTCTCCTTTTGGTATCTTTTCCCAGATTTAAAGAAGCGGAGAGCATTAGAAAGTCACAAGATAGTTGAAGAACATGAGCCGTCCAGCTTAGATGCCCTGGCTAGTGCTGCAGTCCTGGGAGAGAAAATAGGCAATTCTGGAGAGTCGTCAATGGGAGCCACAACAAAACATCCCCGACACCGCCCTGGCTGCACTTGCATTGTGTGCATTCAGCCCCCAAGCGGGAAGGGGAAGCACAAGCCTACTTGCACATGCAACGTGTGTTTGACTGTAAAGCGCCGGTTCAAAACCCTGATGCTACGGAAGAAGAAACGGCAATCAGAACGTGAAGCAGAAATGTGCGAGAAGGAGAATAATGCAAACAAGGATGATAGGCAGATGAATTGCACAAGACAGAATGTGGGAAGACATGAAGTTGATGTGGTGGAGAGCAGCACAGGACAATTAGACCTGAACTGCCATCCCAATCGTGAGGACATGCAAGCTGAAGAAGCGGAAGCGAGCATTATGCCTGTTGGTGAGGCAGGCACAAACAAGATGGCGTTAGAAGATTGTGAAGAGCAACATAAGCTTCCCAACTCAAAGAAAGAGCAACCTGATAGAGAGGATGATAGACAATTAGCTGATGAAGAGTTTATTTCAAGTGTAGGGTGGGAAGGTGATAATAAAGGCGAGAAGGAAAGGTGCAGGGAAGAGAGAAACGGTCTTCAATAATGAGGATGATCATCTAGTTTTTCTTTTCTTTATTTCTTATTATTTTTTTTTTCTAGAAATAAGAATTTTTGTTTTGGCTTTTGAATTTTCATTCCCTACAGAAGGAATTAATGCAATTTTTGTTTGTTTACATTTCTATTGTGGTGTATTGAAGTAGGTTTAATGGCATTTCGCATAGCCGCCATGCATTTATCAACTTATGAAGATGATAAAAGGGCTAATACTAGTAGTATTTTTACTGTACTCCATATATTGATGGGGGAAGAGTTGAAAACTTTGGCTAAAGCAAGAATGGAGCTTGAACAACTCTACCTGGGAATCCCAGATGATTCGGTCAATCTTACTTTCCAAGACCTTGCCGATGTTCAACACAAGGCAAATGCATCTTCCAAATCCCCAAACCCATTAGCAACGCATCTCCTCTATCCAAAATTATCCAGCGTTGATTTCAACAGGGGCCCGCAAGCTGCAGCCAAATTGCAAGATCACCACAACCATCCTGTTGTTGATCATGATCACCAGTCGCCACCACCACTACCAGCCACGGCGGCATTCTCATCATCATCATCATCACGCTATGGATGATCAGATGACAAGAAGCACGGCCTACGACGATGTGAGTTGGATGAGCATGGCTTCCACTTATCGTGATGTTGGCGACGGCGGTCATCAAAGTCGACTCTTCCGGCCTGGGATTCCTCATTCCAATATTTGCACCATTTGCACTACTTATATTTATATATTTCGGCACCGGTGCTAGGTATGTACGTCTTCTAAACAATTTCACTTGCGCTCGCTCATGAGTCTCTCTCTAGCTATATACAATTAATTTACATAATTAATCAATATGTATACAAGGTTTGTGGAAGAGTGTACTGTAGGCATTGCGTGGGCATGGGCATGGGAGAATGGACGGAAGGGCGAAAGTGCATGCAGTGTTTAGGGAGATGATTCAGCCAAAGGTACATCAATCGGTCACACATTTATATATACACATGTACTACTGTAAATGAGATTCTCATATATATATATATGTATGTATTATATGCAGGTACATGAAAAGAGCTGGAAAGGTAGGTTGCTGTTGGAAGTATGGGAATGCGGTGAAGCAGGCAGAGGTGAAGCGGGCGGAAAAAGGGCTGCGGAGGAGTGGAGAGAGAGGCTTGATGTGGAGCACAACCAGCAGGAGCAGGGCGTATTCCAGTAACATCACCCCTTCTTTTGTTGCAAGCTCACGCTCACCAGTTTACTCACCTAATGCCACTCCCACTCATCTCCTTCTCCCATTATAGTATACCTGGGCACTCAACTCAAACCAATTTACAGTACCATATATATATTCTTCGGTTTATATTTCTAATTAGGACATATATATATATATATATATATATTCTTTAAGACCATATTGTATTAATTTCTCTCATATGTTGGGAAAAATGGCACAATGGAATGAAATAGTTCTTATGAACAAAACGCATGAAGAATAATAAAGAACAATGAAACATGCAATTTTGCTTATCAATATTAACAGTTAGTGATAAAGGTGGTGTAACTATCCAAGTAAAATAAAAATGGGCAGCTTAACTAACCACGTGAGAGGAAAATAAAATAAGCAAAATGAAATGGCGGTTCAATCAGCCAAAAAAAAAAATAAATAATAAGACATCATCAAATTTTATGTAGAAAAACACTTAAAAAACTATTGAGGGAAAAAAATTACAAAACAAACTTCGAAAGGTATTCCACTACGTGATAAAATTGTACAGAGTATACATTCAAGTATTTTTCTCTCTTATTGTTTCCCACTCCCCCAGGATATGATCACAATCCTGATAAACTCATAATTTTATCACTCAATGTACTCTCTCTCTGGAGCACACGTACACCTAAGCTTAATGCCTAGCTCTTTCTCTCTCTCTCTCTTTTGTTTTTTCTTTCACCCGGAGCTCCCACCTTGGAAGCTCACTCACTCACTTTGGTATTGCTCTGCTTGCTTCCTGCTTGTTGCCTTTGCATGCAGGGGTATTTATAGGGAAAAACCTAAGCACTCATGCATGATTTTCTTTGCCTCATTAAATGAGTAAACTTGTAATGGTTGAAATCACCATGCAAACATTCAACAAGAGTTACTACAGGTGCTGCCTTTTAACTATAGATTGAGCCTTTTAACTATAGATTGAGAAAATTTATCACATGGAAAGTCCATGTGTTCACATAGGCTGGTCTTCTGCCAACAATCTCCCAACTCCTCGCTTGGAGCTCATCTCAACTAGCTCTATACAATATTCAAATTTTTCCTTGGGAAGAACCTTTGTCATCATATCTATAACATTGTTGTTAGTGTGAATCTTTGAGTTGAAACTACTTGTTCTTTATTGCTAAGTGTAACCAGTGATATCTCACATCTAAATGTTTTGTTTGAGCATGGCACATGGTATTTTTGCTCAAATTTGGAGCACTCTGGCTATCACAAAATACTACATACTTTTTCTGCTTTAATCCCAATTCTTGAAGGAATCTCTTCATCCAAAGCATCTCTGTACCAACTTCTATAGCTACAATGTATTTAGTTTCAATTGTTGACAAGGCAACACACTTCTGCAATTTTGATTGCCATGATAAATCTCCTTTTGCAAAAGTGAATAAATACCTTGAAATAGATTTTCTATTATCAAGGTCACTTGCCATGTCCACATTTGTGTATCCTTTTAGAATTGGTTTAATTTGCCCAAAAGTCAAACACAACTTGGTGGTTCCTCTTAGATATTTGAAGATCCACTTAATAGCTTCCTAGTAAGTCTTGCCTAGATTAGACAAGAACCTACTCATGACACCAACAGCATAAGCAATATCTAGTTGTGTACATACCATTGCATACATTAGCGAACCAGCTGTAGAATAAGGAATAAATGACATTTTCTCCTTTTCTTTTTTGTTACTTGGACAAGATCATTTACTTAGCTTGAAATGATTTGTAAAAAGGGTGCTAATTGGCTTAGCATGTTTCACATTGAACATTTCAAGCATCTGTTCAACATACTTTTCCTATGATAGCCACAACTTCCTAGCCTTTCTATCATGGGTAATAGCCATACCCAGAATTTGCTTCGTTTGTCTTAAGTCTTTCATGTTAAAGGTCTTTGATAACTCCTCTTTTAACTTGCAAATCTTCTCAACATCTTGGCCCAAAATCAACATATCATCCACATATAATAGAAGGATAATGAAGTTGCATCACGGAATGATCTGATGTAGACACATGGATCTACACTAGTTCTTTTATAGCCATGACTCATCATAAAAGAGTCAAACTTATTGTACCATTATCTTGGAGCTTGCTTTAGTCTATACAAGCTTTTCTTCAACTTGCAAACCATATGCTCATTCCCTTTTTCTTCAAAACCTTCTAATTGATCCATATAAATTTCCTCATGCAAGTCACTATAGAGAAATGTAGTTTTCACAACTAATTGCTCAAGCTAAAGATTCATGCTTGCTGCTAGATTGAGCACTACTCGAATTGAGCTCATCTTCACCACTGGGGTAAATATTTCATCAAAATCAATCCCTTTTTTTGAACCTTTTTACCATTAGATAAGCCTTATATTTGATTGTCTTATCATCATCTTTCTAAAGCTTGAACACCCACTTGTTCTTCAGGGTTTTTCTTCCTTTAGGAAGCTCCACAAGCTTATTAGTGTTGTTCTTATGCAGGGAATTCATTTCTTGCTACATGGCCTTCATCTAACAGTCTTTGTCTTTGTAAGACTATACCTCTTGGAAGCTTTTCAACTCCCTTTATTTGGTGATCAAGATATAATCAAAATTAGGGTATCTTGTAGATGGTTTATGCTCTCAAGTGGACCTTTTCAACTGAAGTCCTTCCTCTAGTGCTAGGAATTGCTCCCCTTGCTCATTACTTCCTCCATCTGCACTTGTTTCATCTTTTTGAATGGTTGGCTCCTTTGTCCCGTCTTTTGATACTTGCACCTCTTCTTTATTTGTAATTTTTCCTGAAGAAGTTTTTGTTGGTGTTAGATTAGCTACACTTTCTCTAGTGCTTTTTGTAGCTTTTTCGTCCTCCAAATAATTAATTTTCTTGTGTTCATGGAACATGACATCTTTACTTTTAATAGTTTTCTTCTTTTATGGGTCCCATAGTTTGTAGCCAAACTCCTTATCACCAAATCTAACAAAAATGCATAGAATGGCTTTATCATCTTGCTTTAATCTCTGTTCCTTTGGCACGTGCATAAATGCTTTACACCTGAATACTATTAAGTGAGAGTTTCCAACATCTTTTCTTGTCCAAGCTCTTTCTAGGATTTCAAAGTTCAAAGGAACTAAAGGTGATTGGTTGATCAAATACACTGCTATGTTGACTACTTCACCCCAGAAAGGCTTAGGTAGAGTTACCATTCTTAACATGCGTTGGACTTTCTCCACAATGGTACGATTCATCCATTTTGCAATGCCATTGTGTTGTGAAATGCTAAGAACTGTCTTTTCAAGCCTTATGCCATGCTTTAAACAATAGGAATTCTTTGGAGATGTACTCCCCTCCATCATCTGTACAGAGTCATTTTAACTTTAAACCCGTCTCCCTTTCCACCAAAGCATGGTAATGCTAGAAATACTTGAAAACTTGATTTTTATTCTACAACCAGTATACTCAAGTCTTCCAAGTCACATGATTAATAAAGATAACAAAATATTTATTACCACTAAACAAATTTGCCTTTAGGGGACCACAAACATTAGTATAGACCAAGTCTACCTTGTTTTCCTTTAGAGTCAAATTCTTCTGAAAAGAAACTCAATGTTGCTTTTGAAATAGGCAAACATCATAAGGATTCACATGTTCACCTTTGGTAGTGGGAACAAGGGACTACTTAGCCAAAAGTTACAATCTTTTCTTGCTCATGTGAGCTAATCTTCCATGCCACAAATTTGGAGAAGCATCATTGACAACTGTGTTCAGTTGACCTCCACAAATTTTTATGTGTGCCTTGTATAGTGAGCAACATGCTCTCCCTTTTGTCACCACCATTGATCCTTTGGTGAGTCTCCATTTGCCATTCTTGAAGTAGTGTGTATCCTTCTTCATCCAATCCTTTTGTAGATAATAGGTTTATACACGTATCGAAAATATGTTACACATTTTTCAGTGTCAATGTGCACCCAATGTTGGTCTGGACATAGATATCACCAATTCCCATAATATGAGAAACACTTTTGTTTCCCATTTTTATGCTGCAAGAGTCTCATGATTTGTATGTTGAAAAATGTTCCCTTTTGGGACCACAATGATAAGAGTTGCCAAAGTCAATTATCCACTCAACATCCGAGTTTTTTATGTGGTAGCACTCCCAAGAATCGCATAGTAGAGTCACATCACCACCACTGGTAAATGCTATAGCAATAGTGTTATTATCATTAACTTCTTTCTTCTCTTTTCCTTTCAATACATTGTAATTCCTTTTCATGTGGTTTGGCTTGCCACAATGATAACATTTCACTTTACTTTTGGACTTGGATTTAGATCTACCTCATCCTTTGGATTCTTTGGTTTTACTCCTACCTTTATTCTCCGTGACAAGAGCTTGAGTATCTGGTCGTGAGAAGATTCACAATGCCCACATCCTTTTTTCCTCTTCAAAGATCCAGTTTATGGCGATTTCTAATGTGACTTTACCACCAGAAGATGAGTTGATCGTTGTTGATCTAAAACTCTCCCATGATTCCAACAAGGTATTGAGAATAATCAGACCATTCACCTCATCATCAAAATCTATGTCCACATTGGCTAACTCCTTGATGATGCCAAGGAAGTCATTAACATGGTTTGTTATGGGAGTGCCATCTTTGTACCTTGAGTACATTAATTGTTTTATATGGCACAATTTATTTTGCCCAGTCTTCGCTTGGAAAAGCTGATTTAGCTTTGTCCATAGTGTGCGTGCATTAGTTTCATCATCAATATGATTTAGCACACTATCATCAACCCACTATTGGATATATCCACACACTCACGTATGTAGCAACCTCCCATCTTCATCCTTCATGCTGTTTGGCTTTTGCTCTGAGAAAAGAGGCTCATAAAATTCCTTCACATAAAGAAAGTCTTCCACTTTCCCCTTCCATAGCTAATGGTTTGGCCTTTTTGTTAGGGGTTGGGCTCAGAAGCCTTGGGCCCTTAGGCCTATTGCGTATTTGTTCCCCCCGTAAGGGACGCCTCCCCAGGATCAGCTCAAGTGGTACTAGGGTGCTCGTTTAAGGTCTCTTAAGGGAGGCTGCGAGTTCAAGCCCTTGAACTATTCAGCATGATCATTTTGCTCTGATTCACCTCCATTGTTCATGTAAATATTAGCAACACTTGGCTTTGATACTAGTTGTTGGGCAAAATGGCGCAACAGAATGAAATAGTTCCTGTGAAAAAAACATGTGAACAATAACAAAGAATGATGAAACAAGCACCTTTATTAGCCTATATTAACGATTAGTGATAAAGGTGGTGTAGCCGGTCAAGTAAAATAAAAATGAGCAGTTTAACCAGCCACAAAAAATAAATAATAAATAATAAGACAACACTAAATTTTACGTGGAAAAACCCTAAAAAAACCATTGAGGGAAAAACCACAAGACAAACTCTGAAGGGTATTCTACCATGTGATAAAATTGAATAGAGTATACACTTAAGTATTTTTTTTCTCTTAGTGTTTCCCACTCCCTCAAGATATGATCACAATCTTGATAAATTCACAATTTTATCACTTAATGTGCTTTCTCTATGGAGCACACTTACACCCAAGCTTAATGCCTAACTCTCACCCCCTTTTTTTTCTTTCACTTGGAGCTCTCACCTTGGAAGCTCACTCACTCACTTTGGTATTGCTCTCCTTGCTTATTGCTTGTTGCCTTTGCATGCAAGGGTATTTATGGGGAAAAACCCAACCACCCAGGCATGATTTTCTTTGCCTCATTAAATGAGTAAACTTGCAATGGTTGAAATTACCATGCAAACATTCAACAAGAGTTGCTATAGTTGCAGCCTTTTAACTATAAGGTGAGAAAATTTACCACATGGAAAATCCGTGTGTTCACATAGGCTGGACTTTTGCCAACATCCTACTCCTTGTTGTAATCTTATTATTGGTCCTTGATCGTTAATTAATTACTATAATTGTCTTCTAAACTAGTAGTAGTATTAATTAAGATCTCTTAATTAATTGTTTTAATTAATTTCATGTTTAATTTGTAGTAGTACTTTAGGCTTTTATTATCTAAGGCGTACGCGGGCCGTAGTGAGTGGAGTATAATTTTTGTAGTAACTCAAGTTTTGGAATTTCAAAGCTAGTCAATTATTGATTCAATGACTCTAGACGTGTTGAAAATATTACAACAGAAAATAATTTAGTATGGTATATTCTTTATGTTATATGGTCCGATCACATTACATTTGTAAGCCTCCCAATTTCCAAAGATAAAAAATACCATGTTTAATTGCCCCCACTTAGGCATGTTATATAATCCCACAACGAATAAGATGAATTTGACAAAACCCATGTTTCCATGGCTACAATCAGTTGGGTTTGCTTCGAATTCTGACCTCTTGCCCTTCCCTGGTGCAAATTCTGTTAGGCAAATGAGACAATCTGTGTCTGAGAGAGGGTAACCGTGCTTGGTACTACTGATGTCGCGAGAATCTGTGTCAAAGCACTCTTCTTCTTCTGGCCTGAAACAGCCACCTGGAATGCACCAGCTGTGTAATCCTTCCCTTCCTCACACCTCCCCTCCCCCACCCCCTTTCTTTGTGTTTTTTCATTTTAGCCCATCCCCAAGTAGAAGCTTCAATTAAACAGCTGGTGCATTCCACAGTGAAACACTAATTTAAGCGGCAAATTGAAAGACTCTAATCTAACTCTCTTCCAAGTTAAATACCAAATCTTTTATAAATATCAAAAATTTTTTTTAAACAATTTCCTAATGAGTTGGATTCAAATTCGTTGCTTTGGAGAAGAGGAATGTATTTATAATATTTTTTAAATTAAGATTTTAATTTTTGATAGGGTGTGGACTGAAATGAATTATTTGTATATATATATATTATATTATAATATGATTTTTTGACTTATAATTTAAATTATATTAAATTAAACTAATATTTTATAATTTTTTGATGAATTAAGTGAAAATTATAATATTTTATAATTAAAATATCATAAATAAGAAGTCAATCCTTAATATTGGTGGCCCCCCGTCCAAGTACTGTATTCCACTGCAAAACAGTACACTCCATTGGTATTATTCCAAAATGATGGCCTTAA